GTAAATCCAGAAGTGATTAAAATAACTGACTTCAACAACCGCAAAGTTACAGAAACCAGACGGCGCAGTTCAGCACTTCAACCAGAAAATAAACATCGGTAATTTGTATTGAACTTGACAAGAATACACTGGGTTTATCAACAAAACTTCCACTTGTACAGCTTTAAGCGTATGTAAGAAAGTTACAATAATCTAATTTTTATTTTACGTTTGGAACAGTATTTTAGTAATGCGCCTTTTTGTGGTTTGATCAATCTACAATTTATTAATTCAAGGACTTGCTATAAACTCAAATAGAATGTCTTCTTCGTGGTCTATATCTACAGACAAAGGTATTGAGCACATTTTTACTGAATTGAAATGGTAACTTTGCATGGGTATGGCTACCAAGTCCGAACAATCTCAGAACAAAAGAAAGGCTGGTAGGTAAGATGTGTTGTGTAGTTTCGTTACTGGTGGAGATTAATAAATACCTCATTCGTCGTGAGGATGTATTACTCAACAATGAAGGACGGCTGGGGTCAGTAACGGACCGTACAAAACCTCTGACTCCTCAGGATCGAACTGGGAACCATTCAGCTTCGCACTATTTGTTCATCCTTCCCTTCCAACACGAAAGATGATACATGTGTAAGAAACAGTAGGAGGAGTATTCACTCCTGATGTAAATTAGTAGTCATTTATGATATGAATCCTGACGCACTGCCCTTCATCATTGGACTTGGAATTAGTAATAAAGCTACTTAAACTAGGTAACATCATTCAATTTCACTTCTATTAGAATTAATTAATCCTTAATTCGCAAGTTTACGCCAAATAGTGACGCTCTCTTTTTGCAACATCATTTAAGTAAAGTAAAGTGTAAACAAACAAATGCAGAAAAGCTGCAGAAGCTCATTATGCAGCTGTTGATGGTGAGTCAGAGTTGGGCATTATCATGGGAATCGCCCTGATGACCTCGGTAGCACCAAAGTTGCTCTCTGATGACCGCACAAATTCTATATGTTAATGAACAAAATGTTGTTCCATGCTGTAGTTTTCATCTTGATTTATGTGTCTTGAGTGTGGTTGATACTCAACTAATCTATTGAAATGTTTTACGTTTTTCTGAGTCCTTCTAGTTCACAAAAGCTTCATACTTGATCGCGTGTTCTTCTAAAATACGCTACTTACATTCTCATTGATAATTATAACAAAACAATTTTCAAATAGAATATGCTGATCTTGCTGATCTCATTGCTGCCCACGAATAGTTCCTAGTGACTACCAGTGATACTTTCAGCATCAGACATAGTAAGACTCTCCTTCCAGAGACATTCTAAGTCAAGTAGGTTCGATTAGCAAGTCGTAAGGCAGAATACTGAGCACTTCACTATATGGATAGTTCGGTGATCGAGCTCTAGCACAAAAGTCCAAAGTCTTTCAGGTACTAAGCCAGCAACATACCTGTAAACAAGTAAAATGCTAAAAAAACTGAATATGAAATACTACCTTTTCCTAAAATATCACTATTTCCACTTGTGGGTAACATTCCTTTCAAACGACTTGTAAACCTCCCTATCACGTAAAAAAAATAGATTGTAAGCCATTTTGGGACGTTTAAGAATCGAAGAAAACGCCAGTCTTCAAATGGAAACTGCTGCGTGTGAGAACCAGCTCTCAGTAGAATCTTGATAGAGGTGTGAATAATCAGTAGCTATTTGCATGGATTGATGGCAGCAATAAATCTCGAACACAGCATTCCAGAGCGGAGTTGCACTTGCCTCGGGAGTCGAGGGAGTCTGTGGGAGAGATGCGGGGATGGGAATTGTTCTGTGGGATTTGCTGATATCCATTTCAATGGATATGTATCAAATTTCACGTACCATAGGTGTTATCGTTAAAGTTTTGTATTTTTAGGGGAAAACAACAAGGGAAAATGTAAACAAAAACTCAATATCAAATCATAGAAGCGTTCTTAATTCATATAGCACAAAAATTCATTGGCCACAGACAAGAGACTTATGTTGGAACTTTGCATGTTGAGGACTCGTATTCTTTAGGGTAGGAAATAAAGTAAAACAACGAAAATGCCACATCATACCTTACTCCTGCGTTGCAAAGCACTTGAACAACTTGGATTTGAATCTTTAGAAAACCTATGGTATTTGTGAGAGAAATAAACTTGTCCATGTATCAAAGGAGGCTTGAATTACCAATGAAAGGGCCTCGTAACAATAGTTTGTTAACTAAGTAGCGTTTACTGGAAGATCGGTGATTGCACATAATTTTAAGTTTCTTAAATTTACTATGTTACACGAAATGTAAAGCGTAACCAAACAAAAGGGGCGTTAAAGAACAGCTATCTTCCATTTTGTAAATAATCTTGTGATGAGCATAATATAAAAAATTATGAGGAACGTGGGAAATTGTAGCAAATATTCAATTTCACAAACCCAATTACTTAACGTTGCTTTATATCAAGCTGATCTTGAAGGTTGAATGGAAGATTGAGTGAGATGAATTATGTATCTTTGTTTCTGACAAAGATGATTTTTTTTACTTAAACTTGACCAACTATTAAAAGCTAAACGATAAGAAAATGTTAGGTCGAATTTCACACTATCGTGATCCTACTGACTCTTCTGCACATCATACCAACAACCTTCAGATCATGGGAGTTCGACATAACCACCTACCTACCTACTCAGTTCACGTCCTAATGACTGTTCTTAAATGAGTCAATAATCGTACAAGAAATTGCAACATAAAGCTACAAATACCTATACACTGGTCCAAAGCGTGTGCATTGATACCTTATAGACTCCTGCGCTCTACAAGCTGAGGTTTGGTAGGGTCAGGGTCTAGGCTATAAATCCAGCCGCCGCCGCCCCTCCCACACCGGAGAAAGCCATCGAGGTCTGTAGGTGTAAGAACGGTTGTCGAGCTCATTTCGTTCAACTTTCCGAATCGAATCTTGTTTCCGTGCTCAAAACTGAAACAACTAACTTCAGTAGTTAAGTTTTGCTGTACAAAATATCCAACTTAATCTTACCTTGTATGTTTGATATTGTAATTTTTAAATCGTGAGTTGAAGTTATTGCTAATTTAGAAATTTGTTTCTTTTTCAGCATGATAAATTTACAACCCCATGAAAATGACATTTGAGTTCTAAATCGATCCAACTGGATTATTATACTAAATATACGCGTCTATCCCTCCAATCGAAAACAGCTACCAGAACGAACTCTCCCTAGAACCAACACTGACCAGAGTTCAGTGTTTGCAAAGTCGTGTGTTCAGAATTTCAAGTGTGTGTCTAGTGTCCACGCTCCTCTATTGACGCCTCCGTATCGCCTCTGCTCAATTTTCACATCCTTCTTCAATTTAGTCATCAGGTTGATGCCCTTAAGTTTGAATTTATTTATTTTTTATGATATATTAACAATGTTGATAAAAGCCGAGTTAGGATTGTAATATATCATACCAATTATGGGCAATGGATAAAGTGTTTAATCGATTGGAAGGTTCAAATTTGAAACTATTATAAATGTTTGTGACACCCTCAGTGAGTGATCGTGATTTTATGTTGGTATTTTGAATGGTTGGATAAACGTGGTTTATATGTTACACCAGTTACTCCATCTACTTATACTGACCGAGGAGCCTAAATGTACAGCTTAATAATTTGTCTTCTCACTCCTATATCACTGACTCTTTCACAAACTGTTATTCCATACATGAAGTTTCTCCCAAGGTACCTGTTGTTGTCCTCTGACTATCTGTTCTCACTACCATCAGACCCTGAAATTCTTCTCGCCTTCTCATTATATTTGTCACCAGTTCTTTCACGCCTTCCTGTTCCGCAGATGCTGATATTCCTTAGGCACCTATTGCTTCCAATGACACCCAACTTCACTGTCCAATAATCAACTCACGAGTTTCATGAAATCCTGCTTACGTTGTCATTCCATTAGTAAGGGTTCGTTTCGTACACGCCTTCGGGCTATGCAGATGCAGCTACTCCCTAGACACCTCTTTCATCCTCTGACACTTTACTTTTTTGCCAAATACTAAAATCTGAAACCCTTGTCATACTGCTCGCCTTACCATTCTATTAATTTGTGGATGGTACTTCTTCACACTTGGTACACTTCTTCACACCTTGTCGATTAGCAGATGCACCTAGTTGTTTCTGCTAAATAATCTGTTTCATTCATAATAATACCTTCTGAATATTGTGATTCTGCTCATCTTGCTATTCTATTCGACGCCGGTTCTTTCATAGCTTGTTGATCCTGTATGCAGTCAGCCCGGAGGGTCCTGTTTCATCATCTGGCCCAATACTTATTAACAATAACAATATATCGAGATGTAGACCAAGGCCCCACTAGTTTTTTCTAGAGGGGCCTTGTGTAGACGCCACCTAGATGAGCATTTTAACTTATGAGTGAATGATGGGTGTAGAATGGCGTGAGCTAGCTGCCTTTGCATCTTTGTTGCTGAGTAAGACCAGCTGTTTCAAGTGTTAGAACGATGTAGAAAAAGTCCAACACTCAAAAACAGGACAACCGGGTCTAGGTTTGAACCAAGAAAAGCTACAAACCTTTCTCAGGATCGAACCAACAACCCTTTTTTAAACACGACATGCTGCATGGCTTGTAATTTCATTTCTCATGATTTTTTTAATTTCTTGTCGTTCCAGAGATGCAGTTACACCTGAGGCACCTGTTCCTTCTCTGATCGTCTAATTCGATGTTAAATACTACTGTAATCGGTGACTGTAGCATTAATATCATCATATTATTTACTTTCAAGGATCTTGCATGCTAGTAGATTTGTATTATCGCCATGTCGATGAAAAGTGTTAAATAAGTATTATTAGAAGTATAGTACATTTTTTCTTCCTCTGACTCCCTCCTGACAAGTACTAGCAATTGAGGGCATAGGCAAAATTCTGACATGCTGCTCACCTTTCCATTATATTCGTCCCCAATTATTTCATATCTGGTTTTCCACAGATGCAGTTACTTCCGAGGCACATCTTTCTTCCCCTGACCGTCTACTTCGCTGTCCACTGTGTGGCTGAAGACCCTGACCACACCGGCCTGGTCGCGTCCCCTGCTCTTCTCTTGGGTCCTGACATGCCACTGACTCTCCCACTCAAGTTCTGGGCCAACTCCCGCAGGTCGGCGCTCAAGCCTAGACGCCGGGATCTTCATGAGCCCACCCTCCTCACGCTGCTCGGCCAGGACTACGACCCACGGTGGATGCGCACCGCCAGGCATAATGCCAATAGTGTGAGTTTGGTTTGGTAAATTACTACCGTGAAATCTATGTATGGCAAAGGACATTTCAAGACCGTACGTAGTGCAGCATGGCTTTAAGGATGATTATGGTTGTCATTTGCTTTGATCTTTCTGAATGACTTTATAGTATGAATCTGTACAAAAATCAATGGCAAAAATTGTTTACTTACTTACTAGTACTTAAAGATACTGCACTTATTAATTTTTACAATAGTTTTAGCTAAATTACTTTACCCTCATGAAATCCAATATAGCATATCTGATTGGTTGACTTTTACAACAAAGTCGACAAGAAACAATCCTGCATGCAAAGTAAGGTAGGCCTAGCAATGAAAAGTGATGATGACTGTTGAGTTAGTGGGACAATAACTTTGTTACTGACCAAGACCAGTTGGTTCTTTAGTCTCGGTCATTTATGCCTAATGAACGAGGCCATTTGGAACCAGTTTTGAAACAAAAATATACTTCTTAGGTTTTAACAAAATATCTTTAAAAAAACATAATTGGGGTTATCCAAGTGGACTAAAACTGTTAAGTTCACAAAGAAATAACCAAATACTTTGCGTAAAACCAACGATAATGATTCAGTTACTCTATGATAATACATGAGGAATAATTTGAAGCATCAACATCGGAATAAGATTCATATCCAAATAGTTAGAGATTCAACTAGAGACAGCAGTCGGGAGTATGAGACAATTTACAATCCTCTAGATGCGACAGGTTCACGTACCAGTTGCAAGCGATGCATCCTAATGTCTTCACTTCCTGCTATGACTGTGAGATACCGTTCATCACAATTGTAACAAGTCTCACTAAAGGTTTGGTTACGACATTGACACATAGCCTAAAGCCATAGGCATTATTGGTATTTTGCAGGATTTGAACCCGGACCTTCAAGCCTTCAAGAAAGAGGGCTTGAGCTCTAACCACTGTATAAGAATAATGGCATAACAGGGAGAAGCACAGCCTCCAACGATTATTCTTTATTATAAAATATCTTAACACAATGACAAGCAGTATTGCAATCTAAGACGAAAAGTTAGTGTAATTTAAATGCTACATTTTGAGTATAACAACAAAATATTTGGTAATCTTCGTGAAATTGGTTGACAAAATTTGTAGTAGATCTATGATCATAAATACTGCATTTAGAACTGTTATAAAGGTACTTATTCAAATGTACTTTTTTGTTTCCACTGCGATACTATCAAAGTTCAATTGAACCAAATAATGCCCAACTCTTGAGTGAGACGATCCAAAAGCCACATCACTGGCCTTGCACATCATGAAGGGTCTTGCGCCACCGCGCCGCGCGCCGGGCAATTCCACCTCTACTCAATGGATGATTGCCTTTATGCCACAATAAAGCACGACAAGTCCACCTGTGCTACCCACATCCCACGTTGTCCAGTAAGGCAAGACAAGTCCTGGAGTACACTGAGCACTGCAGTGAGCCGCTCCTCCAGTCTTGCTATTGCTCTATTACGACCATTGCCTGTTGTCTCCATCTAACGGATGTCCTGCATCGACGCCTCATCGCGACGTGATCAAACCAAATCTGGCTTTGATGGATTGAGAGCAAATAATTGAGTAAATTGGTGCTTGATGTCTTTGGAGAGAAAAATATTTGATGAGCATTATTAAATGCTTGGGTTCAAAGGTTGGAATATAGTATTATATGACTAACGAAACGAAAGTTCTAAAATGGCAATCATAGTGATCAAAATCTTAAGTTCTCTTCTTGGGTGACTACGAAAACGGCAAAAGCCTAAAAACTATGTACTGATTGTGTATGAATGGACGTAGACGAAATGAATGAAATCGCTTGTTAATTTAAGAGCATGGCCATTTCTTACAAACCTCACAATTTCTTACGATGAAGAAATCTATGTATGTCTGATTTTTTTAAATGTGTTAAACCCATTTTTATGTGGATGGTGATCAAAGTTATTAGTTATCAAACATGTAAAGATGATGTGTCTGTACCTCTTATAAAATCATTTTCCCATTACAATCTTATACATGTCGTATTAGTGGAATGACAAAAGAATGCCTTTTTAAGATTAGGGCTAAGGTAAAATAATTCTACTATGTATCATTCTTAGCTTTACATCTTCCATTTACTCTCAACCTTGAGTTTAAACTACTCCTTCATAATATTTCATAATTTTCTCCCCTTTTATCTTGTTTAATTTCCATCACAATTTTCTTTCCTAATTTCAATCTGCTAATTGCGTTGGGCTTTCCCATTTCGTTGCTATATTTCTTACCATAAAAAGAATTATTTTATTGTTTATTTTTTAGTAAATTCATTCGTTTTTCCTTGTTTTCCTCTATCTTTACTTATACATTTCCATTATTTTGTTCCACTTTCCTTTAACCAAACGAGTTTCCCTTCTATTTCCTCCTTTTCCAATACAGTCTTTTTAATGTTTTTCCTATTCGGTTTTCATTCGGTTGTCTCCTTCTTGTTGTCGTTTCCTTCTTCTTTTCTTCTCTCCATAGCCATCCTCCTCGTCTTCTCACATACTCTCCTGTTGCAGGACTCAGAGGATGAACCAGAGAGAAAGACAGTTCGCGCGCTGCGAGCACTCCTCAACAACTCCACCTCAGGAAAGGCAGATCAGCTGCAACTCCCCGAGGGGCTGCCACCAGAGTACCGAGAGCTGGTCAAGTCATGGCTCGTCCGCAGAGCCACTTGTCCTATCCGCTTCGTTTGGAACGACCTAGGGCCGTACTTCTGGCCGAGGTGGTTGAGAAGAGGGGAGTGTGTTGAGGAGGCGACCTGCAGCTGGCCCCCGGGAATGGGGTGTGTTCCTGGAGGAGCGAGGAACCTGAACGTGCTTAGGTGGCATTGCAGGTACGGGTTGATCATGCAGCACTTTCTCCCTCTATGATAAGTAGTTTAGGCTTAAGAGGGGCAATGCTCAGAGCAGCCATAGAGGGTCGAGAGTTCATTGTAACGTCACGGAGAAGAAGAGACAATGTAAGTTTAATTTGAGGTAACGTTGTTGTTACCCACTACAAGTTTAAGAGAAGAAGGACCACCTCACCTTCAGTGAGGTAGTTTGGCTCTACCTAGCCTGAAACATAGTTAGTACAGTATAACGGTTTCCAATTGGAAGAAGGCAATTTACTCAAACCATAGGTAACCTTAATGTCCTTTGCTGTGTTAGTCACCAACGGGGACACGACTGGTCTCAAAGTCTAGTGTGCAGAGCTTCAGTTTTAGATTCTTTGGTTCTAAATACCGTACCTGACCTCCAATTGGAATTTGTATGTGATAAAGCCGGTGTATATTCATATAGAAAAAAGCAGGATTCGTGAGTTACATGAGGTTTTAACTATCTCTGTATTGGATATCTCAAGATAAAATCATACGATAGTTAGTTACTGAAGATAGATGAAAACATTATATGATCACGTTGCAAATTCAAAATCAAATGTTCATTCATTTGCTAATCTAAGTCTCAGAGGATGATGTTGACTTGGGCTCTTCTATAGTCTGTATGATTGAACCTGTCTCCTGGTCCTTAGTCTATCTGGTACTGGGCTGGACCTTAAACCATTGGCCAGTCCCCAAGTAGACGGGGGCAGGATACAGGTTACACCATACAGAGTATACTCTGTACTTCGTTCTCTTCCTTTGTTCCTCCACTCTAAGTCCAGATTATTTGTTTTACAGGCTCAGAAAGAACATGCACGGAAAGAAGAAGAAGAGTGAGAACAATGTGTGGACAGCAGCGACTACGGAACATCAGAGGTCTCAGGAATCTATGAACAAAAGGAAGAAAAGGAAGAAATATCGTTGTCTTTGGATCAAAGTACCATATCCCGTACCCGAGGACTGTGTATGTGCTTGCTCTTGAACATGATGACGTCACAGCAGGAGTAAAATCTCCCATGATGTCACTACGAGTTGGAGTATGTACTCATTAACGTTTATCTGCCAATTGACTGTGCCAAAAAACGTTGAGACCGGGCTTGTGAATGTCCAAGAATTACAGTTATGTGGTATCGTTTTATTTATACAAACTGTATTTTCGTTGCTTGTTACAGATTATTAATAGGTTATAGCGCAATTTTATCACGTGTTATTTTCTAATATTCAGACAAAACACGCATGCAAAACGTATTCTTAAAATAATTAAGGCGATTGAATCAGATCCTTCATTTTTTTAAACGTTTCAGCTCATATGCATATCTAATACGTACGATTACGATGTCAAATAATTTAGACGTAAAATAACAAAAATATATGGTTACAATAATTTACAAAATATTCATCGGGGATTGTAACATTAGTTTATGAAATGTGCAAAATCCACTATTGAGCTTCACTTGCTAATATTTTACCATATTTTTATGTGAAGAATTCAACAATATGTGTGAGATAAGTTTGTGGCTGCACCAAACATAAAAAAAAATCTATTTCAACATAAATATGCAACGAGCAATAGTTCTACAGTTGAATTTCAACTGTAGAACTATTGCTCGTTGCATATTTATGTAATGTTATTGGCTCTTGGTTACCAGCCAAAACACTATATTTTATTGTTGTTTTATACAACCTTGTAAATTGTATGTATTCTTTGATATAATGATTATTAATTTAACATCGTTTGGTACATCGTTAAAAAGTTAATCTACGAAAAGGAACTTATAATATATAATAGATTAAATTTAATTAACTGAAATCCCTATAAACCACGAACTATTTCCTGACGTGTTGATCCTCAATGTGGTACATCGTTAAAAAGTTAATCTACGAAAAGGAACTTATAATATATAATAGATTAAATTTAATTAACTGAAATCCCTATAAACCACGAACTATTTCCTGACGTGTTGATCCTCAATGTAACTTTACTTTATGAATAAACATTGTTTTAAATTATCATTTATGTCTAAAAACGATGAAAAATAATGAGCTCTTGTAAATACATGTATGGCTTTAGTCTCCACCTGTATATAAGTATTTAGTGATAAGAAGTGTCAAATAAATTGAATCTTCCTAATCAGCTAGTTTTTTTTTTTTTTGTAAATAATTGTTAATTTTAAAATAATTCTTGATTTTGAAAAGCTGGAATAATTCATAAAAATTGCAACGTTTACTATTAAATGGCTTCCAGTTATTTTTGTTTTTGTGTTAATTTGCCATATATCGCCCATATACTCTACTGTTTACAATAAAACACTTATTACGGTAGAATTTAGCCACCATTATTTAAATTCCGTATAAATATTAATTAGTATTATTATAAGATAATGTAGTCTTATATGTTGTAATTATTTCTAATTGTAAAGCTAACAAGTAGTAGATGTTACCCAATGTCTTTCGACCACAGAATCTATGTAATTTTGCTTAATGCATTCAATTTTAATAAAATATAACTTGCTTTTGTTGTGTGTCTTATGATTTCCTTTGCTTTTTTAGGTTTCTTAACTTTAGTAGGTCAGTAAAATGAAAAATATGAAAATGCTTCATGTACTACAGCCAAAAAGTAAACTTAAAAGTATAATGGGTACCGTACCATATTTAGCAAATCGCAAGTTTTCATGAGATGTAGTATTTTGTTCCTAATTAACCTGATTATGAAACGGTGTATACGGTTCCAGTGTTTGACTGATTCTGATTTGAAATCAGAAGCTTAGGATAGGAATATATTTAAGATAAACAGGTTTTTTCAATATACAGGGTGTCCAAAAAAGGTTGGGACGTTACCTCCCCGAGTACCTGGGATATAATGTCATAGTACTGAATTGAATTAATTATATAATAGCATCCGATACTAATTAAATTGTTCTTTGGCCTTTACTACTGAAAGAACGTAATACTAAAAAATTTTGATGGTACAGTATATGATTTTTTGGTCTCAGTCACTATGATTTTCGTCACTACAGCATCTATATTTGTTTCGTATCGGTGATACTTTAATTGGATTAAAACGCTCGCTCTGGTAAACATCTGATTTAGTTCTATGATTTGATCTGATACTTTGTGCAACGATTGGACTTACCTTTTTCTACTTGCGTACCAAGTTTCAAGTCAATAGGAGTTCGAAAGTTACGGATTCATTTTTGAAAATCACATACATACACACAGGCAGAAAACCAGATATCTTAAGCCCATGTTTATGGTGTTTTTGCATTGTTTTGAGCTAAGGAACAAATATACAAATGCAATCCAGAGAGTTCCGGGACACCCTGTATAAAGTTAATTAATAAGGAAGAAGAACTTTTAATGAAACCGTAAACCGGACCTATCAACCGTCTACTTGAATAAAAGGTCTCAATGAGAAACTTCCCGGAAAATTATTAGCTTTCCTATAAACCCCTCTTTTCATTTAAAGGGCACGAACTTTAGCTTAAAGGTTGGATTTGATTACTCATAAAATACTGAATGTGCGTAACTCGTACATTTCTTTTTATTTATAATTGTTTCTTTATTTTTCAGAGTTAACCTTTTGATCCTTACCATATATTTCCAGTATCGTTTTCTTATGATTTGGGACAATATTTAATTTTCTGAAGGCTTATATCTTCCAATATTTTACATATTTGTTCAGTTTTTATATAAAAAAACCACACAGTACCTGATGCTACAGACAAATATTTCGTATAGGCCTACCACGTGAAACAAGAACCACATCGTTTGGAAGGAGCCTACTGATTGATATTAGATAAATCAATTATTCCGTAAGGTATTTTTCTTTGTGTTTTTGGACTAGCAGTTTGAGTTGGACGAGGCAGTGAAAAACCATAATATCTTCTCGACGTTCGCTCCTGTTGTGAAGCATGGGAAACAACTAGTACGAATAAATATAGTAACTGTATTCAACATTATAATCAACAGATAACCTTAAATTCGATAGCTTCAAACAGAATTTTAAGCCCTTGTTTTCGGTTGAAATACACAGCCCAAAATACCAACCCGTCTACCCTCCTCAACCACTGCCCGTGTGTATCACAGGTTTTAACATTATGTATTGCCAATTGAGATAGGGACGCCATCTAGGTGCGCATTCTATCCCAAATATGAGTGTAGAACACAGTGAGATGCCTTGTGTAGCCTTATACTAAGATCGGCTGTTTCATTAGCCAGGATCCATATATTAAAAGCCCAATCCCCTTAACTTACATGATACATGACTTCCCCCACAATCAATATGACAAACATCATCGTTTCCTGCAATCGGTGTACTTCTACATTATAAAAAGAAATACAGTAACGTCTCAAGCCTTTTGGAACAATATGAAAGTTATTCCTCAGTTACCAGCATTAAAAAATCCACGCTCTGTGTAGCAGTGATGTATGTCTCTTTGAGGTTGGCGTGATTGTGCAACTGCTTCAATGATCATGGAAAGCTTGGACCTTTTAGAATTATCAAAAGCTACATAGGCCCCACTTTTCTCAGGATCGAACTGGTGACCTTTTGATTACCAAACTAGATTGAAGGTGACAGGATAGTTGGATTATTAAGTAAATATTATAATATTATTTAGACTAGTTCATCTATGGTTGGATCTTTGTGAGATCAAGCACTGGACTACTTTTTCCTTACCTTGTTTTGTGAGTGTAGGTCTAATCACTGAAATCTGTTTTAAAATAATTTGGGTTTTATAAGATAAGGTAAAACGTAAAAAATATATACAGGGCACTGGTTTGTTCAATGAGTCGTTAGTACCATTAAGAACAGATATGAAACGCCAACATCGTAAAACATCGTTTTGTCCACAACAACACTCTTCATTTGTACAACGTAAATCTTTAATGTTTTTCCGACGAAAACGTCAAAGTCAAAGCTGCAGCCAAAACCAAGGATTCAATAAAATGATTAATCTGTGGTGAAATGCAATCTTTGTAATTCGAATGGTTTCTTAAATCAAACCACTTGATAATTCAAACTCGACATGATTCAAACTTGTTTGGTCGGCTTTCTGATTTAGAATTATCAAGCGTTAACTGTAATATAATTATACAGGGTGCTCAAAAAAGGTGGGGACATAATTTACGTAGTGATTTCTTGGGTAAAAAAAGAGAAAATCAAGAATAACATTTGTTCAAAATCATTCGTTAACCAGATATCTGCCTTTTTGTATTGTTTACATAAACATTTTTATCTTTGAATTTCTTCAACCGATCGTTTTGAAACTTGGTATGTATGACGTTCTAACACATAAAACGATTAGAGAAACTAAAAAGACAAATTTTAATCTCACAGTATACTAGATATTCAAATTACAATCACTTTAGTGCTAGAAAAAATATTTTTTGACACTTTAGTGCTTGAAAAAATATTTTTTGACGGTACTGTAAATAACTCTTCAGCTGCTGTTTGAAATTAACGAAATTAACATTGCTCTTATGGAGGAAAAATCCAAGATGGCCGTTAGCTTCCATGGACTCCCTTGGAAAACAATTCGAAACTACAAATTAATAAATAAATAAAAAAGTCTTTATTACACAATGTTCTTTATACAAAGAACATTTCTAATCCCACAGTATACTAGATATTTAAATTATTATCACTTTGGTGTTTTAAAATTCTTTTTGGACGATAAATAACTCTTCAGAAGCTGTTTGAAACCATCCAAAATGGCCGCTAGCCTCCAATGACAGAAGAGACCCATGTTCATCTTGATTCAACTTCAAATTGAAAAATGGCGGCAATTTTAATTTTTTTAAACTTAAATTATTCAAATATTGCTGATTATATGAAAAAATGTCAAGAACACTTATATATGTCTTAAGTAACATTTTACAGTGTTTAAACGTTAAGGTCTACATTTTAAAAGGTATATTTTAATTTCATATGTACAAAATCCGAGTAAACTGTTGAATGTTACAATGGAGACAAATCTTCTGTCCAAAAGTATAAATTAAACTATACAAGATAAGGCAGTGAAACGGTAAAATGTCAAAGAATCTTAACAAATAAAACCCTATACTAAACATACTTAAACCATTCAAGTTTTAAATAAATTCGTGTGTGGCAAAATTATGTGGATGATTTTAGGTTTGTAGCTGAAGAAAGTTTTAGGTACTCACGCTATGCATTGTT